TTTACTGAGGAGCCCTTGAGCGTTAGTGAACATACATGAAAGTTTCTCAGATTTAAGCAATGTTTCAGAAGTTGTACAACTCATACGTGAAGTTTCGCCGACCAGTGAGTGGCCGGCGATTAATCGTTTTTTCGATGTGTACTTGGTGAAGGGTTTAACGTCTTATTCATCGTCCGTGTAGTCAGTTCCGTGTGGAATCTTTTACGTACAGTGTAAGTTGTCTGGTCAATATCATCTTCTACAGGTTGTATGGGCTCATTCGACACACTACTGGTGCATCGTTCTTTTATAGACCCCATTGCGTTTGGTTCTTTGAGTGACATATCATCTCTAGGAGACATATCGCTGACTGTCTTCAGCCAAAGCTCAGATGGTAGCCTGCAACGGAACATGTACTAGCTTTTTAGCAGCCGTGCTACCATATGTTTTGACTGAAGGACCACCTTCAACACCCTCGGACCACTTTCTTTGTAGTTCGGTGAGGTACGCAGCCGTGACACGGATTTCGCTAACACATCATCCAAACAGAGTGTTTCACGAATATAACACCGCTGTTTTTTATCATGGGTTATTACTTCATGCTCATCACACGCTCCAGTTTCAGAAACCCCGTGAAGAAGAGTGGTTCTGATCGAAATTTCCTTCCGGTAGTCCTCTAAGGTACGGTTAACTCGATAAGGCTGGCCTCATGGGATGTCTGGAAAGATACGGATGAAGCAGTGTTCATTTCTGAGACTACCTGTCGACAGTAGTACTGATTCTGCTTCAGTGATGGAGTTCAGCACAACGCGCAGAAGCCTTGGCTCTCCGAAATGCTTAGAGTTGGGGTGTCGCGTAATACGCATTACGTATACAGGTTTCAGTACAACTCCGATTAGGTTACTAATAATATCCCACTGGTTAAGGTCATCCAACTGCCTGCCTCTTATTGGTGTCAACTTTGATCCTGGGATATTTGAGCACGGTACGCTCAGTACAGGTAGTTGATTCTTTACACCTTTCGACATGTCGCGGTTAGTGATTGAAATACTCTGAGATGTACCGCAGGAAAGCGGCAGTGCTTGCACTAGGAAAACTCCGCTACGCTCCTCAGTATCCGATCCACTTGGGGGTGATGTTAATTTTAAATGACGGCTCTTCTTTGAAGCAACCGTAACCCAACTTTCGCTAGTACCGGCTTGCTCTTTTTCTACGAACTCCCTCGGGAGTTTGGAAGTAGCCTGACTTATAGTTACTCCGATCGATCTGAGAACCGCATTAGTCAACCATGAGCCACTTGTGGTATTGGAACAGCAGTTGATGTTCTGGACTCTAGGTGTCGTGTTGCTTACGGTGTTAATAGCAATTCTTCTCGGGATAGGAGCGGAAGTTACGGGGGAGGATTGGGTTGCACAGTCCGCTATGCTTAACCCAACCGTAGTGATTTTGGTGCTCACCATTTCCTGGGATGAAATGACCAAGAAGTACTTACCTGGACCATGGCTTCACTTCAAAACCAACCATCTGCACTCAACACCTCAAGCACCGATGTCCAGTTAGGGTAGCTGGACGCGAATTCTTCGCTCCCCGGTAAATATACATAATCAGAGAAGGTGAGACCCCACATACTGGAAATTCTACTTACTTGCAAAATCATACTTCCTCCTCGACTGACCTCAACCTCCATGTTTGACTCTGACTGTGTCATTTGTTTAGCCAACAGAGGAGTCATTCGACTTCGAATAACTGAATGAACAAATGCTTCATAAGAAGCTTCGCAGTTTTACATGACCGTTCAAAACAATCGACGACAGTGTTCCCTAATGTGGTGGGTTTTCGCCTGGCAAGCGTTCTCCCTATAAAAAACCCACAAAAGTCCGTTTGTCAACACTGTGACGTGGCGGATGTGACTCGCCACAGTTAGAAGTCACTGACCAATGTTACACTCTGGAATATCGACTAGTCATTTTTCAATTTTTACTGACACGTACAACAAAGATACTCTCAGTCTTCATATACTGTCCCCACTCCACCTACTGTGCTTTTTTATTTACTCTACGCACACTTGAAACCATTTTATCGGCACCCCACTGATGACTTTGCTCCTCATGAGTGCTTCGACTGTTTCTGCAAATTGTACAACTTTTGGCCACAGCCAATTACATGCGTTGTAACGTATCTGTTGCGACAGGTAATTGCTTGTAAATTTTGATCATACCTGAGTTGGTATGCCTCGATGAATTCGAGAATACAATATTTATTTAATTATTTATGTATAATTGGCTAGTAGCTGGCCGGCCTTCTGAGATAATAGGAGCACGCTTTTAATCAGTGGGATAGATAAGCATTCCACGCAGAACCCTGACTAGGTTTAACTCGGAGGCATCTCGCATGGAAAAAGTTCCAACAGTTACGGCACAAAATGCCTCCTTAACAAGTTTGGAACATGATCCACATAGGTCTTTAGACTGTGGCACACTGGGCATCGCGCTTGTTGAGGAAATGTTACGAACCATTTGAATGACGCACCCTCTATGGTAAAAAGTTGTTCTGTTACTGAGGTTGTGGACAAGGTCACAGTGTTCACGTTGCAGTTGTGTGCTCGCAGACTGTCTTCTCTGGCGTGCCAGTCGTATGTGTCAGCTTGAGCGGGGGGCAGATTATACGAGGGTGTGATTGAGAATTTTCATGGTTAAGCCTATGGATCGTGCCGGGTGAATTTGCCTTGAGACCTGTAGTTGCTCCAAGCGATGTTGGATTTGAACGAGTGACAATTCGTTCGAAAGCCGTTGAAATGGTCTATCGAGTGAAACCAAACCATGTCTTCGATGGTCAGAGTTAGGCAACTTTTGGCGCTTGGATGTCGGCGAAACACTGTCCGGAATTTAGAATTCAGGATAAACGTAGAATGCACTGGCGTGTACTCGAGGAAATAGTATCACAAGGTGGAGGTTTTAAAAGCACGACGCATGAGTATCGATCCAAAGGTGTGCAACAAAATGCCGTTGAGCCACAGTGCCAAACCACGAGCGCACAAGTGAGCGATTTGCAGGCCCTTTCGCTCAAGGTCACAATTGCTAGGAGAGCACAAAGTGGCACATTTGCGTAATATGGCTAAAACCTCCAGTGCCGAACATAAACTGGTGTACACATGCGTCATTGACCTAGGAAAAGTGGGGCAGTAATGTCCTCCGCTCCGGGCATCTGATGGCCCGACAAGAACGGCTACAGAAGCAACAAAGGACCTGAGGACGCAAGATTCCACTGCATTTCAGCGAGTCTTACCCTTAAGTGATCTACAAGCTTTGGCGCTTCGCCCCCAGGTTTCAGCCACATCTATTTTACCGAGGAAGCTGGCTTGCCAATGCTGACACCTCTGCACAACCACAGCAGTGGGGCGATAACAATGAAATTGGTGGGGCCTTGGGCAGTGCTTAGCAGTGCTTAGAACCGAAACAGGTTCCTGTCATGTAGAAGCTTGGGATAACCACTCCAACCCACAAAATCGGAAGTAGAGATAAGCCTTCAAAATAAAACCCAATAACGCTTCTCCCTGCGCCGCTCAACATCATGGAACCCATCGTCGCTAATGCATTGGCGACCTGTCGGGAAATCGGCAAACTTATTGCGCCAGAGCAGCACGGATTCCGTCGTCGGCCGTCATGCAACACGACGTAACTAATAACAAGGATTAGTTGAATCAAATCAGCCGACACTGGAGAGGAGACTGGTGTCCTCTATCTGGATATTTCGAGACCATTCGGTTGTCTAGGTTACCGGAAGCGATTTTACCAACTTCACTATTATTCAGTCAGTGACCCATTTTTGGGCCGGATCGCCTTTTTCTTCTTCCAACGGCAAATTTTGTCAAAGGTTGTAGCTATTTAGCCGACCGCATACAAGTCGTGTTTGCTGCGCTTCAGGCCTCATCTTTACGGTAACAATTTATTTCGGTATTCATCAAAGATTTCGCTTGAATTATCGATGCGAGGTTCTTGCTTTTTATTGACGATATTAAGATATGGCACAGGATTTGCGCGATTGCAGACCAGCACTTGCTTCCGTGTGATCTAGACATGGTACATCAGTGGTCAGCAAATGTAAGATACTTTCCACATGACACTAGATGACCTACAGCCCCAGGCAGCACTGTCCTGTCGGAGGTAACCTAAATGCGCTGGATTAGAGTGACATGTTGTTTCAAACCACCCGAAGTAATCCAAGCCTGGAAACCAGCGCTTCGGACTACTGAACCGGTTGTTCGAACACAGACAACTCGAGTTTCTGTCAGATGTTTAGCGCATATGTTTAGTTTAACATGATTACGCAATTCAAGCTTGGTAGTCATAGCTAAAACGCCATCTCACCGCTCTGGATCAACCCCGACATCGGGTTTCTAAATACATGGTTGAAATGCATAATCATTCATAAGAACAGAAGCTGAAACTTTTAAGTATATTCAATGGAGTTATTGTGGATTCTCGCCTACATGATCCCGCACGATCTAAAGCAGGGGTGCTGCTGTTTACCGCGGCACAGCAACTACAATAGCATGGGGTGGTAGAACAGTACAGCCACCTGGAAGGTCATACAAATTTATTTGCTGTTCGCGGATGTCACACTTGGAACACGCGCTCCGAATTCGCGGTTTCTGCACGGTACTGTCCATATTTACAAGGGGTTGGATGACGCACTCAACCAGCTGCATTTTGTCACCTAACACAATCATGCTCTTCCACTCGTGGCAGAAGACCGTGTGTTTACTCTCCGTCACTTGCTCTTGTTGTGAAACTACGAGGATAGCAAAAATACTGGGCCACACTGATAAAACGATAAGCACTGCTTTTACCAGTAAAAGTATTAAATGTTTTCTTTTTCAACGTCTTCGATAAATACACCAGACCACTTAACATTGCTTTCAAGGCAATAATCCTTAACGCTTATAAGATTATTTTTCTTTGTTCAACATAAGGACTAATCACATTTGACTGAATGTTGGATTCCTGTTGCATTGTGTACAGGTGGTCATCAACTCGACCCACATCTTTATGAGACGCAAGCGCGCCCAATATCTTTATGATGACATCTACTATGTGTGTCGGCAGCAGCAGGCATCACGTTATCTGATGGCAGTGGTGACACTTGGAAAGTGGTGAGTTCTACTGGTGCTGATCATATGCATATTTCTAGGGCACGCCTTAGGCTATTCCCGTAATCGGGGTAGATGGTTTTGTAAAGTTATGATCATGCTGTCGCAGGAGTAGAATGAGCAATCGGTTGTATTTGTGTGTTCATTGTAAGGAGTTAACTCTATAACCAACCGATATACTCAGTCCACATATTTTGTGTCAATGTGTTACGCCTTAGTCCGTGTCTCTTTTCGGTCAAGTTTTAAATTGTTAAGCGAATATTATTCAACACTCGCGGGAAGTAGGCCACCTGAGGTAACTGCTTTTCATGACCAATCGCATCGGTTTGAACCTCGCGTTTTGAAAGTGTCAACTGTCTAAAGATGAAAGACTATAGTGCAAGCCACTGACTGCAACCGAAAGCAGCCGATGCAGTTTTGTTGAGTTTAAAGCGAGGAAAATCTGTGGGGGGTAAACAAAACTTGGAGAAGTTGCAAACAGTTTGTTCTACATCACTAATGATTCACCATAATACAGAGGAGCAATAGGGGACGTTGAATGGTATAGGTAGAAAATCGTCACATCTAGGCTCACTCAGATAGCCATCACACGCCCGGAAAAGCATTGTACACGCGTTTCATCTTTCGGGGATCGTCAGCAGTGCGTATTCCATCGGAGCCTGGTAGGGCTCGAACCCGCAACTCGACTGTTGCAAGTCCGTGGTGATATATCACATCTAGTACGTTATTCACGATAATTGTTGTTGTCACCCGTAGCTCAGTGGTCTGAACCACGGACTGGCAACAGTAGAGTTGCGGGTTCGAGCCCTACCAGGGTCAGATGCAAAGCACACTGTTGACGATTCCCGAAAGGATGAAACCCGCGTATAGTCCTTTTCCGGGGGTGTGCTGGTTATCTGAGTGAGTCTAAATGTGGCGAATTTCTGCCGACTCTCCATATGTGTCCCAGTAGTAACAGCAATAGTTAAAATAGCTGACGTGCTTGCGAAAACTTTTGACGAAACCCCTAATAATAGCGAGAGTCCAAGAGTCTGCGACCTTAAAATTTGGGTTGCAAAAGCTGATGGTTGGTGGGTGGAAAAAGTTGTTTTCAACAACTGCCAAGAAAAAGGCCAAATGACGAGTTCATGTCTGTTGGATGGCTACGATAACACACCAACTTTGCTATTCATAAGCATTTGCATCAAGATGCTTTAGTTGCTGTTACTCTTTTTGTCTTGTGATCCAATGTTTATGCGGCCCTGGTGTGACACACCTGAATAATGTCGATAGGAAGTTGTTAAAGGGAATTACTTTTTCCGCTTGTTTAGCCAGAAATAAGGATGCACTGGCATCCAGTCAACTCGTACCAAATGTTGGATGGGGGTAAACTATACTGTGTCCTAGGTCAAATTTATTCCGTATCTTTTACCAAGAGAGAGCCCAACTGGTTAGTTCAGATTGGACGCAAGTGAAAACCGAAGCAAATACTGGATGAGAACTATGTTTACACTGTAAACCGAATTAAAGCAGCCACAATTTCAGCAAGCACAACTGCCTCACTATGGGTGAGGTGCAACGAACATCCAAGTATAATATGTTATCCTGAGCAGCTTTCCACATCCCATCCTCTTAGTTCTATGCAAAGCGCCTCATTTGAAGGATAGAGTGTGCCATGCGCTGAAGTGCAGCACAATCTACTGTAAGTGCATGAAGTTCACCTGCTTACAGTTGGAACTTAGCCACAGTCTTTTGAGCATTACTAAGATTTCGAAATGTAGTAGTTTTAGCCAGAATCAATTTTCCTTAGGTAAACATGTAAGTTGTGAGCATGAGAATCGACCTGCGCTAACAATGCAAACCCAAGATTTCTTGTTGTGTCTTCATTTTGACACAATAATCTGTGCACAAATCATCTACTCATGACCCATGAAGATCTTCTACTAGACTCCGATAACCAAACACATGAGTGAAATCTTTGTAAAACATTTTACCCCCTAATGGGATAGTATAGAAATGCATTGCAGATTAGTTATACACCGGTGTTTTCCCAAATGGTCAGAGAATTAGCGTTTAGACTATCGGCGCGATGAACGCAATGCCAATAAGTCTGTGACGACCACATTTGGGCCGTTGATGAAGATATTCGCTCACAGAATTCATATTTTACAAAATGTCGTGGGAATATGTTCACTTATTGTTGCAACTTTGTATTCCAACTTTGTGTTAGCGAAACAGACTTCATTTGCTTCGACTTCATGCCACGGCATCACAATATAATTCGTTTCCGAATGGGTCGCCCCTTTCCTCATTTGCTACGCGAACGGGAGTCAATGGGCGACAGTTACATGCAAAAAATGTATCGTGAGGCGTGTCATTGGAGCTCCTTCACACTCAACTACATCGAATGGACATACGAGTATTTTATCCAAGATCCACCTGTGCCTATTAACTGTCCGATTCAAGGAAAGTTCAAGTTCATTCAAAGGGGTCAAGAGCAGGAAAAGTATCAAACGAAAATCCCCACTGGGATGACCCCCAGACCTTGGCTGCAGGTGGGTTATTTCCACATGCTTAACAAAATCTTCATTACGTCCTGCACAGCGCCGAGGACAGGAAAAATAGCCAGTGTTTCATCTTTTAATTCGCCGTTACTTAAGTTATACTTTAAATTTATATAAACGGTAATGATTAGGCAAGTAATCGCTTATTTATCTGAATGACTCACCTTTCTTGAACATTCCTGGCATTCCTTGATAGTTAGCCATTTAGCATATTTTCGGCTGCTGGAAGTACTGTGTTGATTCACAGTGCCGGCAGCCAGTAGCATTTCGTCACACTAACCTTTTCATACTACAATGATTGCGCCCGTCAGCACTTTAGCTTGGTTACAGCTGTAATCATTGACGAGGGACGTTTCACCGTAGCATCATGATCTCTAATGCTTTGCACTAAGTCAAAACTACCTCCGGCATAGATGGACAGTACGCAGGATTGCTGTTCAGATTCCCGATATGCCAAGCGATCGCGATCGGACGGTCCAAAAGCTGCTAATGTTGCTTGTATTATCCTCGATGGACGCAACCGTAACAGCGGCTGCAAACACACATTTCAATTGCATTTATACAAATGCGCTTAATTACGAAAGTTTATTTCATGGCAAAGTACGTCTATCTACGGAAACCAGTGCCGCAAATGAACAGGCTCCAGTTCGTGAAAAACAAAAATTTCTGTTAATAATTATGTTTGGTTTACTAGCAATGAAATGCGTCAGCTTCTGGTTTGCATGTGCTTTGCTTGACATGAATAAGCTAAATGATTGCGGTACAAATTTGCTTCACAAGCAAAGTACAGTTACATGGGTTTGACTGCTACGATTTCAAGGGGTTGTTACAGGTTCAAGGCAGTATCAGGCGTTCAATCCAGTATTGTAACCACAGCTTTTGCAACTCGTGTGGTTGCTTCGGATAGGACTTTGCTGTTCGAGTTCTGCGAAACGCCGCCGCCGAATCCAGTGGCAAGAACAATAGGGATGAGCACGCATTGAATGTGTTATATCAAGAAACTGCACTGCTTAGATAGAACTGGTGCGTGTTACTGAACTAAAATCGCTGACTAATACACAGTTTTCAAAACTAACTAAGGCATTGGAAAAGTGCAACTGTTCAAGACAATAACAAGTGGCCAAGTTAATCGCCAAGCAAGTGCCATCAACAGACGGTATGAGCTGACGGCTTGTCTAGAGAAAACGGCAGTATTCCTCAAAAAGCTCCGAGGTTCAATTCCTGAGCAGAACACCAAAATCTGTTATCCAACCCACTTGTTCCTTTTAGGAGATGCTGCCTGTGAATGCGCTTCAAAGCCACAATCATACTGGTTATGTTAGTATGCCGCATCACCATTAATTTCGGAAACCTCTTGTATGAATCGACAAGTACAAACAACAAAATTGTAGCAACCGATTTTGAAAGGTTTACGTGTGCCCATGACCCATGCGATTCCGCCTAAAAGCCGTTACTGCTGCGTTCTTCACATCTCCAGCTTGTAAGTAGGGAAGCACTTGGTATGTGTAGTGCCGGTATCCTTTAGTTAACAGCCCAGCACCGACTAAGGAGGTTGCTCCGAGCGTTTGCTTTCATTCGCGAAATTCTTGAATGTCCTTTACGGAGCTGTCCAAAAGCGAGTTAACATGCAGACAGATGATTTATGATAATGATCCGCACCGTGTGTTAAAAATTGCACTGGCTCTTCTCTCCAACAGCCCTATTTGACATAGACAAAGAGTTTTTAAAAGGATGACTTGTGTTCGATAATCTGCTAGACCATTCTGTCACTGACCGTTACGTCATACAAGTTATCATGCATCGTTTGACTTACACCCGCTCCGGTTGCAATTACTGAATCTTCTGGTTCACGACTACCACATCGAGTTACCGACCTGATTAGTAGAGTTCACTGACAGGTATTTTATGCTAAAATCGTATATCAAAAGTAATTTTCCCCATTGTTGCCTAAATATTATTTCCCATCGCTGCTTACAAGCAAAGGATTGTACTCGGATATGCGTGTGGAACGACGTCCGCAAACCGGTGAATTCTTGTGTAATATGTGCTGCTGGACCACTGGGGAACCGTTGAGAAATACCTTATGAAATGCCGCGAGTGGAGGTGCTCGTCCGTGATGTGAACGGCACCTTACCGATTCGCTAATTCGAGCAATGATCTCAGCACAAGATGTCGATTGACCACTTCAATGTTCTACAGATGTGGATCTTTATCCGAAACGATCGAGCATAAATGCAAAGAACGTGGTGCATCTGTATTTTTCCTAGTATTACCGAAACTCAGTATCCATCACTCTCCACAACGGATCATTAGGACACTTGGCAATCATTCGTGCATTCACTCATTATGATGACGCTGTGCTGATGCGCTCGCACTGTAAGTGTGCTTGGCAGCATAAAATCGATAACTTGCTGCTAAAATGTGGGCGCTCTCCTAATTCCAAGCGACAGAGGTTCGCATTGACACAACCGATGCTAGTGTTTAGTGAACACCCACCAATAGAGGACCTGTGTCAACGTTTACAGTTCCAGCAATGTTAATCTCTTGGGCAATACGAATGTTGTATAACGCTGCTGCCCGGCTTTTGCGAGTACTTCATTAACAACTGAGTCCCCCGAGGAGCAACTTGCTCAACCAGTTCCACACCTAAAGTGCCTTCATATGTTTGAAACAACCGTTCGGTGGGTGTACCGAGCAACTCATGGGAAGCTAACGCTGAAATTGGTGGTGAAACAGTATCCGTAGAAAACCTGATAAATAGTCCTGGAAACTCGAATTAGTACTCAAATTATGTGACAACAGTTCAATCAACTAACTTTTAGCTTCTTCAAGCCGTGATTGCGGCTGCTGAAGAGTAGTATGCATCGGTTCAGATAAGTTTACCACGTTGTGAAGAAGATTAAGCAACCAATCACCACAACGTTACAGGTGGGTAAGAAACACCAATGGTAAGAGCTAAGATAAGTGATTTAGACAGCCGATGTACTAGATCGCTAAGACACGGCTATGACAACATCAGTGCAATGGCTAGTTAAAGGAACCTATACGAATCGGCAACAACCCAACTAATGACGAGCGCGATTCGAAATCGAGGATGGTACGAATGTGTACCGACCTGTTCGTATACAGGCGAACACAGACCTACACCTTAAATTCCATGGGCAGGTGGTGGAACGAAGTAATTTGGTAGAATTTTACCATTGTACCTCAAGCGAACAGGGAACCGTCGGGCCGCTACAACCACGTCCACCCACTATTCCCTGTGGTCAGCAATGCTATGTCGACCTCAATAGCTGCTTCTACCCACTCCGGAGTTAAAAAGGCAACAAGGACGAGAACGAACAGAAATCGTTTAATTGAATACTATGCTGCCTGTATAAAAGCGAGACCACGTCCTGGAGCGCCGCTGTGGAAGCCAATCAGGGAACGGAAATCACTGTTACTCAAGCTAATCAAACCTACTGGCGAACTATGATCCGTCTCCAGCGACGAGGATTGAAGCTTGATGACCAGAATGCATGAATGTTGCATGAATGATACAAATGTCACAGAATGAGCATGGCAGAATGCAACATGGCAGTAATGATTTGGCACAAAAATGCGATTAACGTTGACGCTGTTTTAACGACATTTGCCGTGATTCAGTTGTTACTTGTGCCTTGGCTATCAGGTATGCACAGCCAAGAGACACACTATCCAACTTCTACGTGTCTAGGAGCCTCTCACTTAACTGCAGAAAAATGAGGGTTTGTATTTCAGTCATTCCAAAAACTACCCAAATTTGGGCTGCTAATCAATTCTTTATGTATTCACAAACAAACTGCTGACCAGAACATGTGCCGCTACGGCTAAGTTATTCAAGACGAATTCGGACAGGAGAAAGATGACTTAACATCGAAGCACAGTGGCAAATTTGCCGCCGGAAATGGCGAGTCGGAACGAGTGTACAAACGGATAAGATGGTATTAAACTGAGACTGGTGTGCAATACCTCCCAATTAACTACTAACTTGCAGTTTGACTCCTCGTAACAAATTTGCGACAATACACCTAACTATGTTTCACTGTTTCCAGTTTTCCAAGCACAAGCGCATGTCACCTGCGCTTTCAAATGCGAAACACTCCGCCCACCTTACACTATCGGTCAATTACGTGGCATCCTATGTTGTGCGTTTCGTTACTCCGCCCCCTCCAAACAGCACATCGTCCTTAAGGCATATTATAAGGCTAAACATAGTTGCTACCGATTGATGGGTCGTAAAGTTTATAACACGCGTAGCAACCCGGGTCAGTTCAGAAGTCAAAGCAGGAATGAAGCTACGGTGACCTTTTGCGATGTCTAGAACACAAAACCTCCAACAATTTTCTTCTCAAAATTCATCCGGCAGTCCGGCGAGGCCAAATCGAGACACCAACCTACTGCGGTGCAACCAATCACACAGCCATGCAATATGTTTGCATTCAGGTACGATTTAAAGCAAAGCGATCGATAGTCCAATCAATTAGTTTGCAATATACGTAGATATGTATCAAATGTTGTCATCACTGCACACAAATACACTATCGGCGCTGTAGTTCGAGCCGTGAGAACATCAGTGAATGAGGGTCTACCGGATGTATGATATTGAACACGCACTGAAGGGTAGCAAATAGGGCTAATGTCAAAAGGGGTTTGCATGTGCGTGGTGTAGCTGCTTCAACTATATGGCTGAGCCACTAACTAAAAGTCAAGTAGGAAAGGGAATATGACGTGCTTGGACAAGCAAAATATCCGTAAGAGTAATACTATTCTTGTTTGGTTTGCTTTAGTTATTGTTTATTCTCGTGCTCAATTTATTGTCACTTAAGTATATTGTAGCACTGTAGATAAGGTCTTTCTCACATATAGCTATTAGATAGAATGATGATGGTTAGGTAAACAAGCTATCCCGTTTTCTCTTCTACTCAACTGCTTGTTTAGCGAGAACAATGATGCAGCTATTGTAACGTGAG